AAAGCCTCTGGGCATTCACACACTTGTTTAGGATGCCTGTTTTATCTAGCAGCCTGATCATGTTTTTTTTGAAATCCTGGTTTCCTGTTACCTGTGGGCATAATCATGTATGTAAAAGTACATAAAACAACAACAAACTGTGATTTCAGGAAAGGCATCCATTGGTGTGAAGAGAAATACACCAGCTCAAACGATGCTAGCTATACCTATACAGGAGTCCAACAAGCATAACTGCAAATTAGGAAGCAGCATAACCTGTTTCTAAAAGAAATATCCCTGAAACTATGGATGGTTACACCAACTTTCATTACAGACTATAAGTTCCATTTCAAATCAAGATCATGTGTTAATCTAGTTGCAGAGAACAGTTAAATTTGTGAAAACACAGAGTTTTCATACACCATTTCAGTGTTTGCTCCTGCATTTTACTATGACAAGTGTTACAAATAAAATTATGTTTAATAGTACAACATTTACCTTTCTGCCATTTTGCTATTTAACATTTTTCTGAGTAAACAAAATGGGCTACCATATTCCAAGAACAACAGTGCTTAAATCTGCGTCCCAATGATTAAGCTACAGAGAACCAGTAAAGTACCAAGATAATAAAACAGCAATAATAATAATATTAAAATTCTCCATTAAAAGAAAATTAAGGTGACATTTAGTTTGGATACATCTAATGAACAGAAAGTTTTTCAAGTTAATACAACATCCAAATTTTTTCTTAATGTTCGTCTAGTTGTAATTATTAAAGTGACACTTTAAAGGCCAAAACATGTAATTACACCTACTATATTTTACAACTACAGACATTTTCACTTGCCCCAAATTACTATAAATAATTTATAAATATATCTTCCTGAGGCATTGAGTCTTTCTACCTGGAATTTCAATGCTTATATTTTCTTGAAACTTGAAACCTCAAAACCCTAAAAAGATATTCAAGCCAAGATAGGTCATCTTTTGCATCATGTCCACTCAGCAAATTAGATTTACCAGAAAGGAGCCCTTTAAGTATTTGAATATAAATGTGGTGTTAGAAATCACACAAGAAAGAACTTGTTGAACTCATTATAACTTGGGCAATCACTTACCATAGGAGTCATCATTTTAAAGTTAAAATAATATAATAGTACTTGACTCACTTTAAATGTGCCTACATTTTGCATTTCTACTTTTGTGGGTTTTTAAAAAACTGTTCATTACTAAGTCAATTTCTGGACAATACATTTCCCAGGAAAAATAACATTTGAATTATAAGGTGAATAATCTTCTTTGCACCATTGCTGAGAATTTAAGAAGAAATCATTTACAAAAGATTAAATAAACCATCACAATTCTTTTTGTAGTTTCTGGAGGGAGATGTTGGAACTCATATTAAATACTTTATTTCTAAGACTGAGACATCAAAGTAAAAAGATCATCTTTGTAAAAACTCCTAAGTGTAACTAGGGCAGTCCTTTGCACTTTACAGGCTTCCCTACATGTCTGAATTCTTCCTTCGGGAACCCTGGCCCAAACAAATCCAAGGCCTAACATCTAATAAATACTTAATGAATCTGTCTTCAGTGAATAAGGAAATAATTAACAGGCATTATTTCTATTCTCACATGACAAATGACAAATTTTTTGAGGCTCAAAATAATTAAGTGACTTGCCAAAGTACATGCTTAGAGTCAGGACTTCAATCCTGGCCAGGTGTGGTGGCTCATATGTGTAATCTCAGCACTTTCAGAAGCTGAGGTGGGAGGATTGCTTGAGCCCGGGAGTTTGAGACCAGCCTGGACAACAGAGCAAGACCCTGACTCTACAAAAAATAAATTAGCTGGAGATGGTGGTCTGAGTTACTTGAGAGGCAGAGGCAGGAGGATCACTTGAGCCTGGGAGGTCAAGGCTGCAAATGAGCCATGATCACACCACTGCACCCTGGCCTGGGCTGCAGACCTTGTCTCAAACAAAACAACAAAACAAAACAAAAGCAAAAAAAAGGACTCCAATTCTATATTTTCAGATTCCAAATAATATGCTGTTTCCATTTCCCTAGTTGTGTCGTCTTGCAGGAGTTGTTGTACTGATCACAAAAGAATTCCCTTAATTATCTCCTAAAATCAAGCTTTAAATAAATTACCTTTATTAGAAAAACAAAATATTTAATAAACGGTGATTTTCATTCACATCTGGGCTGAGAGATGGAACTGCAGCCTTTCTGGTAAATTGGCCCACTTAATACAGAAACCCCTCTTCCACTTTAGCTTGTGGTTTATACCAGAAAGTAACTCTAAGTCATCAAACATGCTGCCTTTCCTCTGGGGCTCATACTCATGGCTCCCACTTACAATCTTTACAGGAAAGCCACTCCCTTCACATCTTCAATCCTCTTGCCCAAAAGTCCTTTCTCCAAATCCTAAAGAATGGGGAGATGGATACTATAAGGTGGCTTGTCTGATACCTTTATTCATTCTTAATATGCATTAAATCAGGTTAGGGTGAGAAAGAAGGAAGTGAGAGGCTAAGAGCTCCACTATTAATTTTCCCTCATGCCGCTTTTCTAGTATTTTTAATTTACTTATCTCTCACTTGTAGAAGTTTGTTCTGGAAGAGAGAATCTCTGACAGTTTACTCTTCCCTTACCTTTCGTTTTTTCCTTGCTGTTACACTAACTCAGCCACAATTTATTGCTGGTCATTGGCAGGGAATGGTGATCATTGCATTGATTATCTCTCTAAGTTTATCCTATCACTTTCATGGATTCAGTTGCATTTGTTCATTAAATATTGAATGACTACTATATCCATGACACTGGGCTCGGTGAGATGATGTTTGTAAGACAAACAGATAAATCATGTATGGATTCTGACTTCAAAGAACTAAAGGGATCCAGGCAAAGTACATACCTAACTACAGTACTAGGCAGGGAGTGATAACTGCCATGAATGTGTGCACAAAGGGCTCTGAGAGCTAAGGGCTGGCATTTTTCACGGACAAGTTTCATTTGAAGTGAATCTTAAATAACAAGTAGGAATTAGACACATATTGATAAAAGACTTGGAGGTGGGATCCGAGGGAAGGCAGAGTGGAGTAGTAAAAAGAGCAGCTTCTGACTCAATCACCCCAACAGACCTTGCTGTGAATTCATATTCCACCTTTTCTATCCATTTGGCCTTGGCTGAGGCTTTTTAATAACCAGGAGGGTCAATAATTTTCTCATCTATCAAAAGAAGATTGTCAATAATGAGGAAAGACCAAAAAAAAAAAAAAATGGCACTTTGGGAGGCCAAGTAAGGAGAATCACTTGAGCCCAGGAGTTCAAGACCAGTTTAGGCAATATAGTGGGACCCCTCTTTACAAAAAATTAAAAACTTAGCTGGGCATGGTGGCACTGGCCTGCGGTCCCAGTTACTCCAGAGGCTGAGGGAGGATTGCTTGAGCCTCGGAGGTGGAGGCTGCAGTGAGCAGGGATCACATCACTGTATTCTAGCCTGGGAAACACAGCGAGACCCTATATAGAGAAAAAAAAAAAAAAAAAAAAAAAAAAAAAAAAAAAAAAAAAAAAAAAAAAACATTGGAAAACAAAAGAGGAAAGTATTTAGCACATGATAGGTGCTCAGTTAAGGATAGTTGTTACTAATGAGCAAGTGTAGAAAGACACAGAGTGTGTATAATGGTTACCCAAAAGGCCAGGAATTTAGTGTGTCAATATATGCTGATGAGTCGTAAATTCTTATCACTAACCATGAATTCTTATCCTCTTTCTAGACTGATATTACTTTGGAATTCTTATGTATGTATTATGTCATCACCTCAAACTTAACATGTTTTAAATTGAACATATCTCTCCTTCAAAGTCAGCTCCCTTTTACAATTTCCTTATGTTGGTCAATGATAACATCTTCTGACCTCGTAACTTACTAAATACTGCCAAATTCAGATGTATCCACTCCTCTAGTGTATTTTTGCACACTTATTCAGCTGTACCACTCTCCAAAACAAACCTTTCATTTTTGTCTAATTGCTAAGCTCATTCTTATTTCTGTAACTTTATTATATTCTTTAGGCTGCTGCTTACACATACTTTACAGATACAGATACAGTAGGGGAAGAAAACCATCTCTAAGCTCCTCCAGGTCAACATGTCTGTCTTTTAAGGACCCCAAATACCTGTAAAGTTATGGTCCCAATAAACTGACTTTACCTCTCTAATGTGTTGAAAAAATCTCCCTCCTTCACCAAACCTTAGTCAGACTCCTCTGAGCTCTCTCCCTGACCAGGTCTTGACCTAGACCCATCGAGCCCAGTTTTAGCAAATAAACCTGCTAAGTCAGTTTATGGAGAGTCCCCCATGCATGCTACTTAATCTAAGTTCTGATCCTGTGCCTTTGAAAGCTAAGTCTTTGGCCTGCTGTTATCAAGCATCCTGACAAGCCAGTTTAGTGAGAATCCCCCTACCTTGAATATCTAAATTTCCTCTTAGTAATTTTCCATCCAGCAACCCCCTAGCTCTGCTCATTGGCTATGTATTCCTAGCTGTCTATGTTGCATTCAGAGTCAGTTCAGTCTCTTTAATCCATTGCAATAGTCTTAACATCTTGACGGTTTTAAACAAGTATCAGAGTAATTTTTCTTCTACAGTGTTTTAATTAGTTTCTGGAAAGTCTGAATTCTGAATGTTATTCCAAAGCAACCCTTCCTTCACCACTCTTGGGGTAGAGCTCAAAATTACAGTCTTCACATTTTCCACATACATGTATTTTAATAATTTTATTTGTTTTGGGAGTTAAGGATCCTTAAAAATTAAAGAGGCCATTTCTGAATGCTAGCTTGGGAGCTTTAAATTTAAACTTCTGTCAGGATTATCAGACAGCAATTGGTCTGAATTGACTGTGGAATATGCTGTATAACACGTTCTTTCACGTTTTAGAAACTTGTGCATTTCTCTAGGATGCAGTAAGGAAATGAGTAAGAAATTTATAGCTATCTTAAGAAAAAAGAATACAACATTTCTTCAAGCTGCTTTTATTACACAGTTGTAATGTTATTAATTATGAACATCTAGTCTATTTTCACACAAACAGTCAAGAGTACACACTGATAAAGATATGCGCTGGGTGAGAATCATTATTTGTATATAAACATACTGGGATTTGGGCATAAAAACACAGTATCAATTAAATAGCTTTAGCAGTCTCAAAATAGACTTCCACTACATTCATGGTATTTCCTAATTTAAATTGTGTTAGAAACATGAGGAACAAACGCTATAACAAAAGAGGGAAGACATGTGGGCAAGAAACCAGGAGATTTTTAATTGTATACTAAGGTTACATTGAAAGTACCATGTTTTCCTATGAGATTTCTGAATTTGTGAACAAACATTAACAGTTACTGTTCTTTAATGTAACCTCATTCATACTAAATTTGTGGGAAAACACAATCTTAGTTTTATCTGTTTACTTATTTTGGAATTTTTCCATTATTGCTCAGTGAAGGTACTATCCAAATATCTTTTAGAAGAAGAAAGAAATGACATTTAAACCTAACACATTCTTCGTGTATTTTTACCGTGACAAGTAGTCATTCACAATGTGATATAATCATTACTCTTCCAAATAGTGCATTTATTACCTTCCCGAAATATTTTCCTTTCCATAAATAGAACATAATTTCTCATTAGGATGGGTTTATATAATGCATTTGGGGGATATTTGAGATCAAGATTCTATTTTCAATATTCCATTTTTCTTGTAGTAAGCAAGCTCTTTTTCAGCACTGACTTAGATCATAAAATGTATTAAAAATGTGAGCATGCAAACAGCAAAACCTAAATTACATTAAATATGGGTGCCCATTTGGCTGACAGGACATTTGCTGAAAACATACTATATGAGATATGTGATATTTAATTGTGTCAAAAATATATTTATTATGAGCCCTTTATTGTTTTAACATTATGAACAAATATCCTCAAAATAAACAATTGTTACCAAAATTTTCATTGGAATTGTTTTGTTTTCTTTCTTAAAACTCAAAATCAACCAGCAGGAAATGCATAAAATTGTGTGAATCATTTTATCCACAATGATTCCATCAATGAAAAAATAAATACCATGTAGAAATAAATAGTTTTGTAGTAAAATATAAACGTTTTACCCTTCGTCAAACAAACAAATAGCATCACTTCAGTTTGCTTTATCCTTTCATGTGATCTAGTAAATGATTTTTTTAGCTGCCAGAAGGGTGTTCTTCAGAAGCATCGCCACTGTCATGGGTCCCACACCTCCTGGAACTGGAGTGATAAAGCCAGCTTTCTTCTTAACAGCTGATGGGGGGGAAAAACGGAATATTCTTTATTTTAAAATTTATCTGAGATTTTCATATTTTAAACATGCTAATATAGTGGCTCTTTCTTCATTACACATACTAATCATTTTTTTAGAATCAAGTAGGCTGTAATAAACAGAGACACACATACACACACACACACACACACACACACACACACATGCTCACTTAGACAAATTCTTCTGTGAATGACATCTAGGCGGACAGAAAGACCACAATGGGCCAATACTGTAAGTTCGAGCTCCATGCAGCTCTGTTTGTTTTACATAATGAAACCTATGATTGACCCAGTAACCTGTAATTCTAGTTAATTAATTCTAAAATACACGATACTGGTCACAAAAGAGACATGGAATATAGAAAGTTCAGCAAATATCATTTATTAAATAGAATTATTCCTTTTACAACAATATCACAATGTATGTGTATATATTACAGTTCAGTGCAAGTCTAATAAATATCACTAAATATACTTGAATTAGGAATACATATACATAGTCCTGTTCAGAGGTATGAAAACTTGGTCAGTGAATACAGATGGTTCCCAGCTTGCAATGGTTTGACTTATAATTTTTTGATTTTTCAACTGTGCAAAAGCAATCCAGATTCAGTGGGAACTATACTTCAAATTTTGAATCTTGACCTTTCTCTTAGCTGGTGATATGTGATACAATACTTCTCAAGATGCTGAGTAGTGGTAATAAGCCAAAGCTCCAAGTCAGCCATGAGATCAGAAAGGTGAACAACCACGATCAACCAATACTCTACAATGTACGGCATTCCAAAACGATTTGTCCAAATACAGGCTAATGTAAGTGTCCTGAGCATGTTTATGGTAGCCTAGACTAAGATATGATGTTTGGCGTATTAAATGCATTTTTGACCTAATGATGTTTTCAACTTAGGATGACTGGGATGTAATCCCACCATAAGTCATAGAGAATTGTATACTTAAAGAAAATGGCAATAACTTTCAGCAAGTTTTATTTAAGAATGTGTCAGGCTGCATGTGGTGACTCATGCCTGTAATCCCAGCACTTTGGAAGGCCGAGGTGGGTGGATCACGAGGTCAGGAGTTCAAGACCTGCCTGATCAACATGGTGAAATTCCATCTCTACTAAAAATACAAAAATTAGCTGGGTGTAGTGGCATGCGCCTGCAATCCCAGCTACTCAGAAGGCTGAGGCAGGAGAATCACTTGAACCCAGGAGGCAGAGGTTGCAGTGAGCCAAGATCGCACCACTGCACTCCAGCCTGGGTGACAGTGAGACTCCATCTCAAAAACAAACAAAACAGACAAACAAAGAAACAAACAAACACAATGTTTTCAAACCCACAGTATTAAAGGTGAATGACTTGCTGCATTCATTTACTTGATGGTTTGGTGCTTTATTGTGTGAATAAAAGCAATGAAGTTTTTCCAGATTACTGTTAGTAAAACATTAGCATAGACAATATTTCTTTAATGCATAATCTGACATTATTAACCACATGCTACCTAGATGTATTGCCTTTTACAAGTTAGCTCATATAGGCTTCTACCTGAATTAAAATCAATAGATGTTGTCTGTATCTTTAGTATTATTTTTGCACAACTTATGTCACCCTTTTGAAAGATGATTTGTGAAATTTACCTTTACTTTATTTGAAGTGAATAGTACATTGGAATAATTTTTTAAATCATAGGAAAAGCAAAGGAATAATATTGCTCTGCTTGAAGAAAGGTCCAATAAGTGTAAATGCATCACAAAAAATATATAGTTAATATGTGTCATGAATTTTCTGAGGGCATGTTATAAAGAAAAGATAAGAATACTGTGATTTGGAAGGTAGTATTTCACTTTTACAAACAGCCTCTATACAGAAAGCACATCCTTTCCATTGCTACATTTCCATCTAGTGCATTCCATTCTGCAGAAACATTAGACTGGGTCAATAGCCAATCAATAAATAGCTATGAATTTTTTAGTCCTTTCTTCCTTTGCTCTAACTGTTCCTTCTACCTGGATCATTATTCCATCTTATCCAAACAAAAACTCATTATTTTCTGAAAGCCAATGAAATGTCACCTGTCTATTATTTTCCTGAAAAACTCACTCCTCCAGTGTTGAATTCAAAGGCCCACCACGGAGTGTAAATTAGTTCAACCATTGTGGAAGACAGTGTGGCGATTCCTCAAGGACCTAGAAATAGAAATTCCATTTGACCCAGCAATCCCATTACTGGGTACATACCCAAAGGATTATAAATCATTTTATTATAAAGACACATGCACACGTATGTTCACTGCAGTACTGTTTACAATAGCAAAGACCTGGAACCAACCCAAATGTCCATCGATGACAGACTGGACAAGAAAAATGTGGCACATATACACCATAGAATACTATGCAGCCATAAAAAACTATGAATTCATGTCCTTTATAGGGACATGGATGAATCTGGAAACCATCATTCTCAGCAAACTGACACAAGAACAGAAAATCAAACACCGCATGTTCTTACTCATAGGCGGGTGTTGAACAATGAGAATACATGGACACCGGGATGGGAGCATCACATGCTGGGGTCTGTGGGGGTGGACTAGGGGAGGGACAGTGTGGGGTAGGGAGGTTGGGGAGGGATAATAGGGGGAGAAATGCCAGATATAGGTGACAGGGGGATGAAGGCAGCAAACCACATTGCCATGTATGTACCTAAGCAACAATTCTGCATGATCTGCACATGACCCCCAAATCTAAAGTACAATAAAAAACATATATTAAAAAAAGTAAGTTCCACCATGTATATTTCCAACATTTGACACCTACCTCCATTATGGAACATAATACACTTCACTATCTCTTCCCTTAACTAGATACCAGTACCTAGAAGGCAGCAGCCAAGTCATTGTGGTTGTTGTTTTTAATCTTAGAATGTCTCCATGCACAGGTTAGGGACTCAGCAAATTTTGAGAAAGTGAACTTAAATTTCCCTTACTTAAAATCTAAAATCAATTTGCAGAAATGTGTCAGTGCTTTTGACTGGATATAAACAATATCAATTTAGTTTAAGCTAATTTACTGAAAAACTCAAGCTACTCATTTTGCTTGAGGGTGATAAACTGCATTTTCCACTTTTCAATAAGCTGACTTAATGGCCTAACAAATGACTTCTAAGACCTTTCCTCAAGCATCGAAGAAGCAATGCCTTTAAAACGTGGCAGGTCTTTAGAAAAAACATTTACACTCTTCCTCCTCCTCCTCCTCCTCCTCCTCCTCCTCCTCCTCCCCCTCCTCCTCCTCTTCCTCCTCCTCCTACATAGTCATATATTTGTAAAGCATTAATGTTGAAATATAATAGATAAAAATAAAATACTGCTGATTAATATGGGAAAGTAAAAATCAAGTGCTAATTGAATCTTCAATGGAAAACAAAATGATTTTTTTTCAAAATTTAAAAGTGGCATACAATTTGTTACAGGGAATATCTATTGTGGGCATAAAATTATTTTTATATAGTTTGGTCTTTAACTTTGAAAGGTAAAGTGGCTTTGATACTATTTGTCTCTGAAAAAACAGTAAAAAGCATAGGTACTATCAATTAAGTACCTATTAATTAGTTGCCAATAATTGTATGCATTGTTCTAATAATTAATATTTGATTATTTCATTTTAATAGATGAGGAAACTTTGGCACAGTGAAGTTACAGTGACTTACCACTCTCCTATATAGTAGAGAAATTGGTCACAGCCAGGTTAGAAATACTCTAAAATTCCATAATTTCACCCCATCCCAATGCAACTATATGACCTGAACAAGTAAAAAAGTCCAAAGAATAGCTCAAGTGCCAGAAATTAACTCCATTTCCTCAAGGTGTTAGGAGGATATTCTAGAAAAACATAAATGAAGAGGAAAACATTCTAATAAATTAATTTTCCTACATTTTGAATATGAGTTCTCATAGCTATCATCTCTGAACTACATCTTACACTTCAAATTACACAACTGGCTGAGTCGTTTTATTCCTGGTGTTAGATCAGATAAACCATCAGTCTGATCAGGTATCACGATCTTCCTCTTCCAAATTAAGTTTTACAGACAACATGCTTACTATTGCATTCTTTTTCTCAGCTCAAAAGGTGAGGTTTGGGTGGAGGAGGAGGGAATGGGAATGCGATACTGCATAAAATAACATCTGCCCGAAATTTTTTAGCTCAGTGTCTGCATTTTTGCATAGTTTAGTGATGGAAACCAATACACATTCACCCTGTCCTGCCTATCAGTTTTCATAGAATTAGACTATTAAGGGGTAATGGGGCTTCACCTAACATGGGCTAGGGCTTCTCTGAACATCAATAAGCATTTAGTATCATCAATGGAGCCCCAAAATTACTCATGAAGCAGAAGATTATAATATCATTGTAAACACACCTGATTATTCAAATACTTGCTTCAATCTTTTTTGTTTTTGAAATAAAGTATATGGATATGAAGATAAACTTTGTACATGATCATGAAAGGCAGAGTTATTAATTTGATTTTAGAAAACACATATTAGGTTTCTATTCCTTTTGATTTGATATTCATGAGTATCTGTGTCTAAGAAAGAAATAATAAGCTTATCTGCTGCTGGCTAGTGTTAATATATTCTTTGTCTATTTACATAAGGATTAGGATATAGAAGTAAGTGATCTCTCAAAAAAGGCGGGGAGTTACTGGCAAGTGCCAGTGGGTAAAGATGTCAATGCTTAACAAAAATTCTCTATTCTAATGATTTTGCATAACTATTTCAGGGCTATCCTAAGCAACACACGTATGAAATACTGTAGGTGGCTTATTTGCTAAAATTAGTCGTATGAGAAAGAGTTAAATTTTATTTATGTTTGATGCTCTGAAAAGCATCTTCCCCAATCATATCTGAAAGAGAGCAAGGTAACAAGCATTATATCACCAGAATAACCTCTCATTGGCTAGTCTTTCCCTGAGGGCAGACAA